ATGCGGGGTCCCCAGAAACGAAGCCCGGGCCCTTGACTTCGGCTTCTTGCAAGATCCCATGGACAGAGCAGCGGCCTCCCTCCTGCCTTCTGTCCGAGGGAGTGTGGTTGGCCAGGCAGGCCCCGGGGATTGGGGCAAAGGACCAGGGCCCGGTTGTGCCAGTGGAAGGGCCCGGCTGAGCAAGGGGCCCGGTAAGGATCAAGGGGGGAGCCAGAGAGATGGTGGAAAGCAGGGAGGATGCAGCCTCGGGGCGCCAAGGGTTGAGTGGGCAGACGTGGGGGTGGGCCCTGCTGGGCCTTGGTCCCTGGGAGTGTCTGCTGTGCCCCCCGCCTTTCCTCAGCACAGACATCCCTCCCTCCTCCACTCCTCCCCTCCGCACTCACGTCCCTAGGCCTGCCTGGGGCAGGCACCCTCTGAGCTGCGGGGTGCATGTCCCTGGTCCTCTCGCTCACGTTGGCTGAGAATGTTCCGGAACCTTCAGCAGCACTGCTGCCAGCTCTGCTGCTTTACCACCTCCCCATCTGGTTGGAGCCTCTGAGGGTGCAGGACTGTGTGAGAGCTCAGGTTCTGGCCCGGGGAGAGGGCCAGGCTGATTTGGAGGCGGATACTAGGCTTCTGAGAAACAAGTGATGTGGGGAGGGAAAGGGAGAGCTGGATTCTGAAAGTGCAGAGCTGGGAGGCTTGAGGCAGAGCTGCCACTGGAATTCCATTTCTGGAACAATCGAAGCCCATAGGTGGGGGCCAGCCTGAAGGCCGGAGTGCTCTCCAGCGAGGGCCCTGACTTGTCTGCCCTCGGCGGGGAAGGGGCAGCCCTGCGACGCCCCGCGGCCTTCCTCCACCTCCATTTCCACGTTCTGGCTCCTCTGAGCCTGGTTTACCACAGAATATTTTTAGCTGACAGTTCCTGCTCACAGCTGAGTGTTCGCCCTTAAATATTTTATTAAGTTCCTTTTTATCGAACACAGGCCTGTGTCCCTTAGAAGCAGAAACCTGGTGCAGTGGGTGTCCTGTGCCCCTGGGCTGTCCCTCCCACTCCCCGTCCTCCTCCCCCATGCCTCACGGGGGTCCCCTGGCCCAGGTGTGGGCTCTCCCTGCCGGGACTCACCCCGGGCCCCGTCATGGGTGTTCTTGTCTGTACCTGTTACCCCAGATACCCTGAACCTCTGTCCCCCAGGGCCCTGTCCCCATCCAGCCGTGGACTTGGAACCCCCGCCCGCCCCCGCGAGTCTGCTGCAGGACCCGCACCGCTCTGCCCTGCTTCCCTCTCCAAGCGTGTGGGCACGGACCTGCTCTCCTGAGAGCCCCGGGTCTGGCCCTTCTCCCCAATCTTCGTATCTCCTCTGCCTCTCCTCCCTCTCCCTCCTATTCTCCCCTTTTGGAAGGAAGGGAAAGTGGGGGGACACTGAGAGCTTCCCCATCGCTTCACAGCATTTGTTAAAACCCCTTGGCCTGCCTTCCCTCCCTGCCCTGCTCGTGTCCTGCGATGTCCCTGTCACCAGTCCGATTTCCTTGTTTGTCCACCCCCTTGCCCAGCAGGCTGGGAGCCCCCTGGGATCAGGGACCCTCTTTTAGCTGCTCACCTCGGTGCCTGGCATGTGGTGGCACAGATGTTCGTGGGATCAGTGGCTCTAAGAGGCAAGAGGGTTGGTCAGGCAGGCAGGAGGAAGGTTGGGGGCGTCCGGCTGCTGCCTGCCCAGGGCCCCTCTCTGTGCTCTGCGGAGCTCTGCATCCGCCCTGGGCTCGGGGCCTGCGGGCCTGGGGCTGGCCAGCCGGGTCCTCCCCTGCGCCTTTTCTTGCCTCCTCCCCTGCCAGCTCCTCTCAGGGGAAGGATGCAGTGACCATGTGACAGCCAGAGAAGGCGGAATGCCCCGGGCTTCGCTGGTGGGAATGAGGCAGAACTAAACCAGCCAGAGCTGGCGCCCTTGTGCTAGGCCCGGCGCCCAGCCCCACCCGCACACGTCCAGCCTGGACTGGGGGCTGCATCCGGACTCCGCTCCCAACCTGGTTCCTGACTCTGCTCACCCCCGTCCACAGGTGTTCCGGAGCGGAGAGGGCATGGGCATCCGCCTGGATAACGCGTCGGCCTTCCAAGGGGCTGTCATCTCCCCGCACTATGACTCCCTGCTCGTCAAAGTCATCGCCCATGGCAAAGACCACCCTACGGCTGCCACCAAGATGAGCAGAGCCCTTGCCGAGTTCCGGGTCCGAGGTGTAAAGGTAAGAGGCCGTAGGCTCTGCCTGCCTTCTAGGTGCTCAGTCCCACACTAGGCCTGCCCCTTGGCCGCACGTCAACTCTCCTAGCCACTCTGCTGGGGCTGGGCCCCTCCGCCACCCTGGGAGTGGGCCTGGGCTCCTCGGGTGCTCGGGGCCCTCGGCCAGAGTCGGGAGTCTTGCTCCAGGGAGCCCCACTGCTTGCCCTTCTTAGGGGGGATCATCTGGAGTCTGTGTTCGGTCTGCATATCACAGGTCTCCTTTCTGGAAATTCTGATCTCATTGGTTGGGGTGAGGGGCCCAGAGCTGCATTCTGAACACGCTCGCCAGGTAGTTCTGAGTCCCAGGAAGACCCTGGGTGAGAGAGCACAAGCCCGTGCGGAAGAGGTCACTTGGCATAAAATGAGACCCCCGCCTGCCCTCCTTGCCCTCGTCCCCTGGCCTGGCACGTGGGCGTCATGTCGGTTGCCTTTGGGACAGCCAGGGGAGGAGGCTGCAGCCGGAGGTCTGAGGGAGGCCGGGGGGAGGCACGGGGCCCAGCTGCCAGGCAGGGACCTGAAATCCTCGATGGCCTCTTGGTTCCCTGTGTCTGTAGCCGGAGACGAAACCACAGCCGCATGCTGTCCTGTCCTGGAGGCCGGCTCTGCCTGCGTATCTGTGGGCATCCCCGGGCCAGGGGCTGCCCGCAGAGGCCCTGCGGCACGAGGGTAGGGAGGAGGGTTCCACCTGCAGCGGACCATGCCGCCCAGCCCCTCTGTCCTCTCACGGTGCCCTGGGCCCATCCTTTCACCCACTGGCACAGCTCTGTGATGTGTCCTGGCAGGGGCTCCGGTGGGTGCAGAAGCCTTTCGAAAAAGCAGTTGAGAGGGGAAGAGGGAGGCAGGGGACCTACAGGGCCAGTGGGGGTGTCAGCCATCTCCCCTCAGGCCCGTGGCCCACCTCAGAGGCGGTGGCCGTTCCCCAAGTGTTGGGGTCTCTGTGCTCTCTCATGGGAAGCCTCAGGGCTCCTAGTCTGTGGGTTCCTGCGCACACAGAGATGTGTTGTGACGTCCTCCCTGAGGGGCCTTGAGGTTTCCAGCATGGTGTCCTAGGGAAGCTTTGGGGGCCAGTATGTGCCATGACCCTCGTATGGGGCCCCACTAGCCCACCCTTCACCCGCCTGCCCTCGTTGCTCTGTTGTCCTTACCGCTGGCCCCTACACTTGTGTGCCCAGGTCATTGGACCCTCCCCGCCCCCCAGCCTGGCAGGCTTATGAGGACCTCCTGCCCTAGGGCCCTGAGGGCAGAGAAGGGAGGCGGGAGTCACGGGGCTCACTAGGAGGAAGGTGGGAAGGCCAGCTACGGGACGTGTTTCTGGTTCCTTGGGGCACCAGAGTCCTCCCTAGATGTGCACCCCGATGAGGCCACGGGCTCCTGCCACATCGAGAGCCGCCCACGCCTGGCAGCTCCTTGCCTGGCACGCCCCAGGCCCCCCTCCCCTCAGCCCCGGGCCGCCTCCGCCTTCTCCCTGTGGCCTCTTGGAGGGTTCCCGTTCTCGTGCTGTTCCCCAGAGGACCTTGTTTATTTATTTAAACCAGGATCTCCCCTGGGCCACATCCGGGCGTATGTTCCAGGGCTGCAGGGCGGGCTCACGTGTGTGAACTACAGACACACCGGGGTGGGGGCTTGGCGGCCCACATGTGTGCGCACATGCCTGTCGTCCGGCTCTCTGCAGGCTGCGCGCTGGAACACAGCAGGCCTCACACATGGGCACTGTGCGCCCCTTGGCACAGGTGTGGTGGCCACTATGGTCCGGGCCTCATCATGGGCTGTGGGATGCTGGTGTCCGCCATCTGCGGTGGCGCTCAGGCATCTGCATGTTCTTAAAGCGTCTGGGGGTGCCGAGCGCCGTGGAGAGCCCCACGTCTGCTGTCATTCGTGTCTGGAGCATCAATTCCTCCCAGCTGACGCTCGGGAGCCGGGACTGTGCCCGGGGCCAGAGGCTGGCAGGGGTCTTGGTCAAGGGGAGTTAGAGCAGGGCCCGGCTGTGCCCCCCGGACTGCAGCTTGTCGGGGTGGGGAACAAAAGCGGGGAAGTGCCCCCTCATCCCAGCGTCTGCCGCTCCAAGGTCCAGCAACCGTTTGACTCAGTCTTTCCAGACAAGCCCAGAGCGAAGCCACGGGGAGAAGTGGGGTGGGGGGGGGGGATCAGTGGAGCAGCTGGGAGCTCAGGACCTCTAGCACTGATGAACCTCCCAGAAGGTCTTGGGCTGATACCAACGCAGTGGAATTCTAAGCCTTTTCCAGTCCTTCTGGGATAACACTGTACAAATCCAGAAGCTGCCCTGAGAAGTGGTGAGGTGGTCTCCAGTGGAAGCCATGGGAACTTTCTATGGAGTTGGAGTGTTGCCAGCCAAAGGTCCCTTCGCCCTGAAGGGCTGTGCCGTGGCCCTCGTGCCCGTTGGCCCTCTGTGCAGCCTGGCGTCCATGCTTCCACGAGGACATCCCATCTTGTCCATGTCGTGCCAGGAAGGGGTGCTCTCTGCACTTAGAGGTGCAGGCACAGGGCCCAGAGGGCTTCAGCACAGCCCCTCCCCTTCTTGAGGGGCCGGTCTGACTCACCTGGGACAGGAGGTGCCAGCCCCAAGCACCTGCCGTTAGGCAAGGCCAAGGACACCCTGGGCTCGTTGGGCCACCTCCGGGGGGCTAGCGGCCCTGAACCTGACCCTGTCTTGTTTGGGGGTGTCTACTGGCCCACAAGTCCCCCTCCCGTCAGGGAGCCTAGCAGGACAAGACAAGGCTAGCACGGAGGTGTACGCAACAATTTTATTATAAAGAAAAACAAGACTCCCGCTTGGTGGCTGTGAGCACCCGTCAGAGGAATGCGGGTCTGGAGGCCAGAACTGGGGCAAGGGCCCCTTGTCCTGCCAAGTACAAAGGAGGCCTGAGGTACCAAGGGTAAAATCAGGAGGGACTCCCAGGCAGTGCTGACCCACCGGGCCCAGCAGCTGCATGTCCCAGGCCCTGTGCCCCTTCCCCGGCCCACCCCGGGCTCACTCCCTTCCCCTCACACCACACTCTCCTCCAGCTGCTCCGTGCTGCCCCCCATCCCCCGGCACCCTGCCCCGAGCAGCCCCCCATGCACAGAGTGGCTTCTCCGGGCCCAGGCCCCTCCAAGGCGCCTGGCGTAACCGTAGCACCCGCCGGCGTCTCCCAGGTCCAGGGAGCAGCTGCGTTGCGGCCTTGGTGGTGGGCTCCGTGGTGGGTGGGCCTTGGGCGTGGGGCTGGGGCCTCCATTGGTCTGGGATTGGACGTGGCTGAGCTTGAGGGGGAGGCGGCCGTTCCCGGCCCCCCCGGCCCCGAACCAGCAAGGCCACAGTGAAGACCAGTAAGGCAGCCACCAGCACACCCCCCACGGCCACGGTCAGGGTCCCGCCCAGCACGTGGGCCTGCAGGGCGTGGCACAGGGGTGCAGCCGGTAGCGTGGAGAAGTGGGCACAGCCCAGCAGCCTAGTGGCTGTGAGGTCGGAAGGCCCAGCGGCAGGTGACAGGGCCAGCAGGCAGAGGTCATAGTCGGCACCGGGGACGAGGTGCTTCAGCAGGAAGTGGTGGCTGGAGGCCGGGACAATCCTGTGGGCAGGGGTGGGTGGTCAGAGCCTGGGTTTGGGCTCTGACCCCAGCCCCCGCCCCCTTGCCACCTGCCCCCACCCTCACCCCCGGCTCCCAGGTCCCACCTGGGAACACTCCCTTCCCCTAGGACCATCTGGGCCTCAGTTTACTCCAGAAGGCCGAGAAGCCAAGACAGGCGTGAGTGTGTGCAGCTGGGGACAGAGCACGGGGCTGGACGGGCGCGTGTGTGGATGCACAAGCCCAGGGCAAGTGGGGGAGGCGGTGTGGAGGCACGTGGCACGTGGCCAGGGCCAGGAAGAAGGCGGTGCGCGCAGCCCAGGGTCGTGTGCCTCTGCAAAGAGGCCTGGACTGCGGACCCCATGGGGCACTTCCCACCTCTCCCTGGTGCCTGCCCCCCCGCCCGCCCGCTTCCCCCCTGCAGGGAGCTCAGAAGCTGAGGAGGGGTGTGTGGAAGTGGCCGAGTCTGGGAGGGCTGGAGGGGGGCTCTGAGGGCCACAGGGAGCCACGTGGGGGCTGCGGGCCGCACCCTCACCGGTAGATGAGGGTCTCGTCCTCACTGCTGTTGTACTGGATCTGGAACATCCACACGGGGTCTGCAGGCCGCCCCGGCCCCCAGCTCACCAGCCCTGAGGTTGCAGTCACCTCCGTCACTTGCACAGCTGGCTCAGACTCTAGTGTCCCCTCGCCCTCGGCGGCGGTGCGGGCCGAGGCAGCAATGTCCGAGGGCCCCGGGCGGCCCCCCTCCGCGCTGCCGTTCCCGCCGTGGGGCAAGGCCAGCACGCGGAGCTCGACCCGGGCTGTGGCCTCGCCGGCAGGGTTGGTAGCAATGCAGGTGTAGCCCCCTGCGTCCCCAGAGCCCGTCACCCCGATCTCCAGGGTCCCATTGGGGAAAGCCCGGGCTCGGGAGGAGTTGCCAACCAGCCGGTCGTCAGGGCCTACCCAGTGCATAGTGGGCGCGGGGTCGCCGAGGGCCCGGCACCGCAGCGTGGCCCGCTGGCCCTCCAGCACCCAGAGGCGCTGCGTGTGGCGCGCGATGAGCGGGGGCTCACAGGAGAACTCGCCCTCGGGCACGGCCCAGAAGTAGCGGCCGGCCAGGCCCGGCGGGGAGGCGCACGTCTCCAGGTCGTCGGGCCGCGCCAGCCGCCGCAGCCACAGCAGCTCGCAGTTGCAGTGCAGGGGGTTCCCACTGAAGCTCAGCACCAGGGGGGCGGGCGAGGCCTCAGCGTTGCGGCCCCGGGAGAAGAGCGGGTCGGGGGCCAGCGTGGTCAGGCGGTTGGATGTGAGGTCGAGGCGGGAGAGCTGGCTGAGCTGGGCAAAGGCGCCCGGGGGCAGCGCGTCGATGAGGTTGTGGTCCAGGTTGAGGGTGTGCAGCGCGGGCATGGCGCCGATGCCCGCCCAGGGCACCTGCCGCAGGTTGTTGTAGGACAGGTCCAGGTCCTCCAGGCTGTCCAGGAAGTCGTCGAAGGCCCCGGGCGAGATGCGGCCCAGCTGGTTGCCGCTGAGGATGAGGTGCTGCAGGTTGACCGGGCCGCGGAGGCTGCCGGAGCCCAGCTCCACCAGCCTGTTGCCGTCCAGGTGCAGGGAGCGCAGGCTCTCCAGGTCCCCGAAAGCGCGGGCCCCGATGCGGGTGATGGCGTTCCGGGACAGCGTCAGGTCCACCAGCCCCGTCATGTTTCGGAAATCTGGCGGCCCCAAGGCCTGGATGAAGTTGTCTGCCAGCCGCAGCTCCACTGTGCGCCGGTCCACGTTGGGCGGCACAAACAGCAGGCCTCGGTGGGCACAGAGTGTGCTGAGCGACTCGGACAGGTTCTGGCAGACACACGGCAGTGGGCAGGCGGCCGCTCCGCTGGCCAGCAGCAGCAGCAGGAGTGGCGGGGCCATGGCGAGCGCCCTGCAGGGAAGGGCCGGAGCCCAGGCGCGGGTGGGGCAGGTGCAGGTGCCCCCGTGCCCACCGCCCAGTCTCAAGGGCCAGCTTCGAGCCTGGCCTGGGTGTGTGTGTCGGGGCGGGGGTGTCAGAGTCAGAGGCCCCAGGACTCTCCCCCTCCCCCTGGGGCAGAAAGAAGGCTGGGGCCTGCAGGGCCAGCACCCCCCCCCCCACGGAGTAAAGGTCACATTTCCAAGCGGGTAGGGGGGTCCTGGCTCTGGGGACAAGGTGCAGCATGAGGCAGGAAGCGGAGGTGGGCACTAGAGCAGGGAGGGTCCCGGAACTTCCTTTCTCTGGCGTCTCCAGGAACCGCCAGCCCCCTCCCTCCGCGCCATCCCCTCCCCCGCCAGGGAAGGCGTCCCCCCCCCACCAAGCCCCTCCCGTGGCCCGTGGCCCCTCCCTGGCCAGTCACCGCTGCCGTGCCCCGCGGCCCCCTCACCTGGTGTCTGTAGCTCAGGGGGCGCGGGCCGGCCTCCCCGTGGGCCTGGCCAGCCCCCGCCGACTCCAGGCTGCTCTCCCGTCGGGGCGAGGCCCGGGGCTGACCGGCCGCCTGCCGCGCGCCCTCCTGCCCATGGCGCTCGGGCCCGCGGCCCCGGCTCTCTCGGTTCCCGGCACCTTTTCCCGGCGGCTCGCGGCGGCGGCGGCGGCGACAGGCGGGCGGGTGCGCGCCGGCGAGCACGCGCTCCGCGGACACGCACGTGGAGGGCGGACAGGGAGGGGCGCACGGGGATCTACCCGAGCCGGCTGGCTCCCGAGGTCACGGGGACACGCGGCCACTGCAGCGCCCACGGGTGGCTCCCGGTCACGCCTGAGGCCCGGGCTGGCGCGGGCCCGCCGCGCAGTCCCCCGGCGCTGCCGCAGCGCACTCACCCTGGCACAGGCGCGCGCGCCCCCGGCCACCCTGGCGCCCCGGCATCCTGCACCGCACGGGCGCCCGCCGCCGCCGCGCGAACCGTCACTCCGCAGACAGCCAGACAAAGCGCCGGCTCGCGGGCCCCTTCACCATCTCCCAGAGACGGGAGCCTTTGTCACATGTCGCCGGACACCCTCCCCAACACGCCCACACATGCCCACACACCCACACGTCCCCGCACCCACAGGCAGGGCCGGGCGCAAACCCGCACTGTTGTTGGGACCCTCACAGACACACGCTGAAGGTCATAGCCGTTCTGCATCACCGAGTCACGTGGAGGGTCCCCAACAGGCACGGGGCCTGGGGGGGGGCGGTGAGGGGCTGGGGCGACGCCCCCGGCAGGCCGGCTGCGGGGTGGGGCGGAGAGGGCTCGGCCTCCCGGCTGGCGCCGCGCCCCGCCCCTCGCTCCCCTGCCCCGGCTCGCCGCCCCGCCCCGCCCGGCACGCTCGGGAGCCAACCGGTCTCCGCCTCCCGCCCGATTGGTCCGCGCCGCGCCGCTTCCCAGCAGGCCGGAGGCCGCACGCCGTTCGCAGCCGCGCGTCAGTGGTCCCCGCCGAGCCCGCGGCCCCTCCCACCCCCTCTGTCCCCCGTCGGGCCGTGCTTCTGGGAGGGCGGCCCGGGGTGAGCTCGTCTGGGCTGAGAAGGGGCTCCCTGCCGGGGGTGCGGCGGGAGGAGGGTTCCCGGCTTCCTCCCTGCGAGGGCCGGGGCTCCGGTGGGCGCGCCGAGTGCTCGGAGCCAGCCAGCGCGCTCTGGTCCTCCGGGAAGCGAGTCGCCACTTCTCCAGGTATCTCCTAGTCCTCAGGCTCCCCGGACACCCCCACCCGCGCCCCTGCCCCTTTCCTCCAGACGTGATTCCTAGGGACTGGGGGGCCAGGACCCCTGGGAAACGGAATTCCGATTCTGCCCCGTGCAGCAGGTAACCTTAGGCAAGTTATTGAACCGCTGAAAACACTTCACTCGTTTTGGCCAAGGGGTATTAATGACACGAGGAGAGATGTCGCCGTTGAGGGGCGCAGCTGCCTGGCAGCTGGAAGCTTTTCCTGACCGTTGCTGCTCCCAGGGCCTCAGCTGTTGCGTTTGCAGCACGAAGGCATTGGAGTCTAGCCCAGGTCCACTCTGGCGCTCAGCAGTGGGGTAGCTCCTCCCTTCACCTTCCGGAGAGTTGTCATTCGCTGGGAACAGGGTCTGCTGGCATCCGTCACAGGCGGCTCTGTGCTGAGAGTGGGGGTACATCAGGAAGCGGATGGTCCTGGCTGTGCCCGCACTGAGCTCACAGTACATAGGGATGCCTGATCCCCCACGAAATCACCAAGGGGGAGGGTCTACACATGGGGGAATGGAGGGTGGGCCAGGGGAGGCCTCGGAGAATCCCTCTTACCCGGATGTGGTTCTCGGTTCGTTAGACGGCTCGGCTGCGCTTACCTTCTCACGTGCTGTGCCTCGGTCCGGTTGAAATGCTCCATCTCTTTAGGAGGGGCAGGGACTAGTCTCAGGGACAGATAGGCCGATCTGTCGCACCAGAGAGGCATGAGGCAATGTTGGCTGAGTCCCACTCCGCAGTGACTGTGGGGGAAGCACCCTTTCCGTCTGGACTTCCAGGCGATAGGAGCCCTGGGTGGAGGGGGTGACAGCTAAAACTTCTCGGAGTAGCAGCAGGGCCCAGAAGCATGAGTCCCTGTTGAAGTTGCCAACAGAGACAATGAGTGGATGACACAGAGGTACCTTATCTGAAGTGACACCCATGTGGTCACAGGCAGTGCATGCTCGAATTCCACCCACGAGGCCCGGCAGTCATGGGACATGTCTCCGTGCTGGCTTCCAGGCCGCCATGTGGCCTCCGGGTTGGACTTGCCCGACTTCAGCTTCAAGCTGCCACCCAGTAGTTTAATGAGCAGAAATGAGGGCCCTTGGTGTGGGGGGGGCGCCAGGGTGGCTCAGTGGGTTAAGCGTCTGCCTTCCTCTCAGGTCATGATCTCAGGGTCCTGGGATTGGGAGCCTGCTTCGCCCTTCCCCACTTCCCCTGCTTGTGTTCCCTTTCCTTCTCTCTCTGTCAAATAAGTAAAATTAAGAAAAAAAAAAGAAAAAGAGGGCCCTTGGGCACAAAGCAGGTGGACACAGATACGTCCTACAGCAGCCCTGCCCCCAGAACCTCCCAGGGCTCGCAGGCGTAGGAAGAGCGCAGACAAGCGAGCGCTGACGGCAGGAGGCGCTTTGCACAGCTGATCCCACGGAAGCGGACTAGGAAGGGGGAGGTACCGCCAGAGGCCTTCAAGTTCAGACTTCCTGGAAGAGCCTGCCAGGCAGGTGCAGAGGCCTGGCGGCGTGAGAGCTCACGAGGCGACTCTGGTGTGGCTGGAGGGGGCCGTGACTTTGAAGCCTGGCAGGTGACATGTCTGGAGACAAGGGCTCATAGAGTCTAGAGGTGACCGTGGTAGAACCATCTGGCCTGACCAGTGACACAGGAGTGGCTACTGGGGGTGATGGAGCGTAGGTTGGGGTCACCGGGTGGACAGTGAGCACCCAGCAGAAGGCAGAGGACGGCGGGGTGAGGGAATCTGACCTCGGACATGGTGAGCTTGTGTGAGGGCCACACAAGGAGAGGTGCCCAGGAGGCATTTCCACTTTAGGGTCTTGGCTCAGGAGCTGGAAGCCCAGGATGAGGCACGCGGGGAGAATGTGCTGTGTGAGGAGAAGAGGCCCAGTGACAGCTCTGAGAACTCCATCCTGCAGGGGTGAGAGGAGCTCCCAGTGGGGACTGGGGAGGAGGAGAGCAGGAGGTCTTGGAAGCCCAGGGCGACAGTGCCCAGGTGGGAGAGGGCCGAAGGAGTTAGCCGCCACGATGGAGCTTAGTGAGGCCGCCCGAGTACGGCTGTTGGGGGTGGGGGCGTAGGGACATCTGTCAAGAAGCATGGCTGGGAAGGGGAGCATGGCTGCCGTGTGTCGCAGTGTTGTGGGAAAGGCCTGACCCGTTTCCTGGGCTGTGTGGAGGAGAGGAACGAACTTCCAGATCACTGAGGAAGGAGGAAGTGATTCAGCACGTGTTCTGGGGGAGCAAGGTTGGGCGGGGGGAGTGGGCTCAGCCTTCTAACACTCAGGGCACTTTGCCAGGATAGGGGGTTGGTGAGATGGGAAAATGTCATCCCACAGGGAGGCCTCAGACCTCAGCCTAGTATCCTGGGGGACAGGATGGCAGGGGGGCTCTGCTGCCTCTTCCCCAACCGTGCTACACGGTGACACCCCCCCCCCACCTCTGTCCTGCAGACCAACATCCCCTTCCTGCAGAACGTGCTCAACAACCAGCAGTTCCTGGCGGGCACCGTGGACACCCAGTTCATCGACGAGAACCCGGACCTGTTCCAGCTGCGGCCTGCACAGAACCGGGCTCAGAAGCTGCTGCACTACCTCGGTCTGACCCCGGACTGCCCTGCTCTCCCCTCCCAGAGGCCTTGCTCCTGACGCCCTGCCTAGAAGAGTTCCAGCTCTCACTGTCCCTGCCCTCCTCTGCTTCACCCTCCCACCTTGCCCACCTTCTTTGCTCCTGATCTCGGAGATGCCCCCTTTTCCGTCCGTGCGGCCGTCAGTAGGTCCCCACTGCGTGGATCCAGGAGGCCCTGGCTTTGGAGAGGCCTGGGGATCCCGAAGGAGCCCATCATGCCCAGGCCCATCCGCTGTCACTTCTGCCCTCAACTCGGACTCTTCCCAACCTGTCCTAATCCCACTATCCCTCCCTCCCTAGGTCATGTCATGGTGAATGGCCCAACCACCCCAATCCCCGTCAAGGCCAGCCCCAGCCCCACGGACCCTCTTGTCCCTGCAGTGCCCATAGGTAGGTGAGATTCATTCTGCCAACTCGGGGAGACGGAGAGGAGGTGGCTGCCTACAGGACGGCTGCTGACACCCCGGTCTGCCCTAGGCCCACCCCCGGCCGGTTTCAGAGACATCCTGCTGCGGGAGGGGCCGGAGGGCTTTGCTCGAGCTGTGCGGAACCACCAGGGGCTGCTGCTGATGGACACGACCTTCCGGGATGCCCACCAGTCACTGTTGGCCACTCGTGTGCGAACCCACGATCTCAAAAAGATTTCCCCCTATGTCGCCCACAACTTCAGCAACCTCTTCAGCATAGAGAACTGGGGAGGTAGGCTGGAGGAGGGCTGGAGGGCGGGACAGCCCCTGGAAGGAATCGGGTATCCAGTGTGGCCACTCCGGAAGCTAGAGATGTTCACACTGAGGAAATCAGTGAGGGGTGCACGACGCGTGGTGTTCATGTGTTCAGCAGCGACTGGTGCCCACTCTGGACACGCCTCACAGAGCTGAGACCCCAGTAGCTCAAGGACAGGGAGGAGCCACCAGCTTGCTCGTCACAGCACAGAGAATTGGCCGCAGGGCTGTGAAAGGGGGCACAGAGGACCCTGATCCTGAGCTACCCTGGGAGCCGCAAAGGGAAAAGTCCGCAAGGGCTGGGGCAGGAACGTGAGGGGTCCGGGAGGTGTGCGGGACGGCTGTGCGGGCTGGGGGCTCGGGCCGGGGGCTCAGGCCGCAGAGCTGCAGGGTGTGGTGGAATCCCAGGGGAGTGAGGGGCTGATCTGGGCCTCTCGGTCCCCGTGCAGGAGCCACGTTTGATGTTGCCATGCGCTTCCTGTACGAGTGTCCCTGGCGGCGGCTTCAGGAGCTCCGGGAGCTCATCCCCAACATCCCATTCCAGATGCTGCTGCGGGGGGCCAACGCCGTGGGCTACACCAACTACCCCGACAACGTGGTCTTCAAGTGAGCCTGGGGTTGGGGGCGCGGGCAGACCCTGGCGCATGACCCCGCAGGTGCCGCGCCACACTGCGATGGCCTGTGCTCCCTGCAGGGGGCTTGACGCTGAGCCTCCTAGCTGTCCCCAGCGAGGGCTGCCATCTGGCATCTCATGGAGTGTAGAATTAACGCTTGGAGAACTGGAAGGACTAAAAACTCAGGGGAGCGAGTGCTCGCTCAGTGCTCTCTCTCTCGCTCAGACCGTCACTCCTGCAGGGACTCTCCCGCTGAGTCTTCTGCCCTGGGCAGACAGATCGACTAGGGCAGGACAGCTCTGCGGGGCCACGTGCCTCGGGGGTGACCCTGCCCAGCCCAGGCTACCCCAGAAAAGGCCTTGTCCACACCGGGTCGCCTCCCCCCACACTGGCTGGGTGGGTGCCCCTCCCCCTGTCAGGCCAGAGCCAGAGCGGGATGTTCGGGGGGGGCAGCGAGATGGGATTGACCCTCGGGCTCTCCTGCCCACTCAGGTTCTGTGAGGTGGCCAAGGAGAACGGCATGGACGTCTTCCGGGTCTTTGACTCCCTCAACTACATGCCCAATCTGCTCCTGGGCATGGAGGCCGCGGGCAGTGCCGGCGGTGTGGTGGAGGCCGCCATCTCCTACACCGGGGACGTGGCCGACCCCAGCCGCACCAAGTACTCACTACAGTACTACATGGGCTTGGCTGAAGAGCTGGTGCGAGCCGGCACCCACATCCTGTGCATCAAGGTGCCTGGACCCCCGCCCCAGGACCCCCAGGCCCTTACCCGTCTCCCCCCACCACGCCCCCTCCTTACCGCCTTTTCTTTCCTTCTTGCCCCAGGACATGGCAGGGCTGCTGAAGCCGGCGGCCTGCACCATGCTGGTCAGCTCGCTCAGGGACCGATTCCCCGACCTCCCGCTGCACATCCACACCCACGACACGTCAGGGGCAGGTGTGGCAGCGATGCTGGCCTGTGCCCAGGCTGGGGCCGATGTGGTGGATGTGGCAGCTGATTCCATGTCTGGGATGACGTCACAGCCCAGCATGGGGGCCCTGGTGGCCTGCACCCGAGGGACTCCCCTGGACACAGGTAGGAACAGCGAGGGTGCACGACCCTCCCCTCCCAGCTGTGGCCCTCAGGAGTCCTGGTGGAGTCTGGCCTATGCTAGAATCCAGATGTTAGTTCCTGACCTTGCCTTCCATGACCCACATCTGAGATGGGACCTGAGCTGGCCCTGGAGTGCTGGGGGAACCTGGGAGCTTAGCCCGTTTTCCTGGCCTCCCTGCAGGGGTGCCTCTGGAGCGTGTGTTTGACTACAGTGAGTACTGGGAGGGGGCCCGGGGACTGTACGCGGCCTTTGACTGCACGGCCACCATGAAGTCTGGCAACTCGGACGTGTACGAGAACGAGATCCCAGGGGGCCAGTACACCAACCTGCACTTCCAGGCCCACAGCATGGGGCTTGGCTCCAAGTTCAAGGAGATCAAGAAAGCCTATGTAGAGGCCAACCAGATGCTGGGCGACCTCATCAAGGTGAGCCCTCCCCAGTGTTCTTATCCCTGCCTCTGGGCATCCATAAGGCACAAGGTGTCCTAACCCAGGGGATTTTCTTCTCAGGTGACACCGTCCTCCAAGATCGTGGGGGACCTGGCCCAGTTCATGGTGCAGAATGGGCTGAGCCGGGCGGAGGCTGAAGCCCAGGCAGAAGAACTGTCCTTCCCCCGCTCCGTGGTAGAGTTCCTGCAGGGCTACATTGGCATTCCCCACGGGGGGTTCCCTGAGCCCTTTCGCTCTAAGGTAGGAAGGCCCAGCACAGTCTGGGAGGGGGAGGCTGAGTGTGAGCATCAGACCTGACCCCCTGCTTTGCTCCCCAGGTGCTAAAGGACCTGCCAAGGGTGGAGGGGCGGCCTGGAGCCTCCCTCCCACCCCTGGATCTGCAGATGCTGGAGAAGGAGCTGATAGAGCGGCATGGGGAGGAGGTGACCCCAGAGGATGTGCTCTCAGCGGCCATATATCCAGATGTCTTTGCCCACTTCAAGGACTTCACGGCTACTTTTGGCCCCCTGGACAGCCTCAACACCCGCCTCTTCCTGCAGGGACCCAGAATCGCAGAGGAGTTTGAGGTCAGTGGCTCTGGCACCTGTCTACACTGGCCCCCCGCACCCCTGCCCCCG